ATACAATAAAACAAAAAAACAGTAAATTAATATATAAAGCATTTCAAATATATACAATCCAAAGCTTTAAAATATATTACACGATCGATTTACTAAAAACACACAACATAATTTGAAATTTTGTAGTTGTTCATACAAAAAAAACTACAGTTGATAATCGAAACAATATCTAATGAAATGTTTAGTGGAATTAACCATTCCATTCTTTTCCAATATGAAGTTTGTAACTTTACGGGTTCCATGATTAGCACCTACAAATTTAAAGATAATACATATGATCAGGTATCATTTCAATACATTTCAAGTTTAAAAAATATATATATCAACACAAAGCCAATACCAACAAGATCTTCATTGCAATATTTATGTACCAATGATAATGATAACCTGATGAGTCTTTCATCATACATTCCTTCAACCATTCCATTTCATCATACAAAACAATCAATGTTCATTCTAATGGAATTAACCATTCCATTCTTTCCACGATTGCATTATACCAAACACTACCTATCAGTGTTGTTATGTTTCTTTCACAAAATAACTAAACTACAAGTTCAATAAAAAAAACTAGTTCTAACACAATGATTCCTCCATTATTATTTAGTTGATGAGCAGATAACAAAATCCAACCAAAATAGCATTTGTAGAAACAACAATACCAATGATAAAAAGGTGAGCTATGAACCAGATTTATGCTTTGTGCTCGATGTATGAAACAGAAAGTCCAGAAGTTCCCAGAACTGTCACCTGCAATTACAGAATAGCATAGTTTCAAAAGAGTGTAAGTATGCATAGTAGCCTTTAAAGGCTATAGTGAGAATCATTACTTTTTGTTATATTGTTTCAAGAAAGATAATTTGTGTTTATAAGGGGACAATATAGGAAACAAGATAGATTCCTCTTGTGCAAGTTTCTTACAGTGACCACACCTGTCGAAAATTGCAGGACACATACAATTCCAAACCTATTGATACAGTTTAAAGCTGAAAAAAGTTAACAACAAATATTAGTAAGTAAGTAAATACATTAAAAGGAATGCCACATGCGCCAGAAAAACTCATTTCTGACATTATTTATTATCATAATTTGAAAATTCATAATGTGAAAAACAAGATCTTAACATGCAATATGATTTGTATGCACATGAAACAAGTGATGAGAGCAAGGTAATAACATTTAATCAGGTTCAATGACATATAAATCTTATGTTCTAACCAATGGGTTGAATGACAATCCAAACCCAAAATATCCCCCCTTATCTAATACGGGGATACTAATAACCGTATTTTATCTCCCTATATTCTATTTCACTTTTTGTAGTAGTGGATGGAGGAATTGCAAAGTGATAGAACTTTTCTTGAGGTGGGTCTACAAAAAGCAGTAACCCTAAATTATCTAACACAACACAAAATCAATAACCCAATAACAAAATTAGTGAGACATACCTAGAGAAAATGGGAGTTGATGAACAGAGAGAGGAAGCTGGAATTAGAGAAATTGATATTGTTGATCGATGGAATCAGGAATCAGAATCAACACACGGAACTCGAATTCTCCTCCCGAAGACAGCAGGCCGCGGGTTACAGGCGGTGAAGGCGGTGGTCGTTGTGGAGGTCGGCGGCGTCAATGGAACCGACATAATCGTTATGGCGGTGGTCGGCGTCAAGTATGGATTGTTCGATCGATCGATCGATCGAGAGAGAGAGAGAGAAGGGTGAATGGAATGCGATTGTGAATGAGGGACGAGACCTATTTTCAAAATTAAAAAAAATATACTTAATTATTTTTGGAACCGGGGAAATTTCCCGCTAAACATTTGAGACCTGCCAAGTCGTATATAAACCTCAAGGTCAAAAAAAAATTTGGTCAACCCTATTGGAACGACAAGTCGTCCCCATAGCTCCACCTATAGCGACAACCACCGTCGTCCCTTTAGGCTTTGTCGCTATAGATATTTAATCTTGCAGTGACAAGAGAAAATGCTTATAAACATACTTTTAGTTTTTCCTCCCACCAATATGAGATATTAGAAAATTGCCAACTTGCTATAATTTCATAAAATTTCTACCAATCCCCGTCTAGTTGGAATGTTTCCTTTCACTTAAATAGATGACATCACATGGGTGTCATGGAGATTAACCCTAAGTATAACATGAATAAAGAAGAAGAGCCTGATTTCATGGTATTTTTTATATGTTTAAACTATTGTTGAAAAAAATCGTGACTAGGTCTCGATTAATCTCCGATTTGTCCCTAGGCGTTACCTAATTGAGTTGAAGGCGCCTAATGATTAATCCGTGCCTACAAAATGAGTGAAGCAGTAGTAAACGATGAAATTTTAACACTTTGAAGACGTTCTATCTTAATTAAAACTATTTGAGGAATGATTACTGTTGTATCAATCATATTAACCTATTTTTTATGATATTAGTGGTATGTACGAACTTTATTATAATATTAGTCATATATAATTTTTCTAAAAATAAAAGAATTAGGAATTTAGGGTCCTCGCTACATCCTTCGATTAATTTCCGCCTAGCAGATTAATCCCTTAACCTCAGTCCGCTGACTAGTTAATGTCTAACATTTTTTACAACCTTGGTTTAAACCAAGAACCTTGTACGTGGCCTCCCTGGTATATCCCCATCTTTGTGTTCTTACTGACTCTGATTATGGTCATGTGTTCTAAACACTTTTTAGGACACTCTAGAAGATACACCACTATATTTCACTTGAGACAGCCCACGTCTAGACCATATAGGCAAAGTTTTACAACATCTTCGTTGCTTAGATGTCTCCAAAAGCTTGTTCAGAGTTTTAACTCAATTTTGTTCTCAACAACAACATATTGCCCTACCTCACATGGATCTCTGATTATTGATAGTATCTTCGACCGTTTAGTGACTTCGTTATTATCCTTTAAACTTGAGAATTAGGAGAACCAATGTGAAGTCGGGTTTTCGTTAGTGAACGATTCTATTGTGTTTTTAGACTCATGAATCTCATAATATTTGTAACAAAATCTCTCGCCAAAGGTTTTGTAGGTGGATCTGCCAAGTTCCTACTTCTCTTAACATATAAAACTTTGATGCTACCAATTTCAGTAAGTTGTCTCACAAAATTATGTTGTAGAGCAACGTGTCTTGTCTTCTTATTATACATTATATTATGTACATTGGAATGCATGGCATTGGAATATCCCATATACGGATATCCAAGAGTAGATATGTAATCCATTCTGCCTCTTTCTCTGATGTTGCTTAGGCAATGAGCTTAACATGAATCGTTAAGTGAGCTATATATGTATTTTTCTTCTTGTCCATGAAAAACACTGCCAATTAGAGTTAAATCGTTAAGTGAGCTATAATATTCTAGTATCCTAAGAGATAATAAACATGTGAACTCCATAGTGCTTGTCCTTTTCAAGTATCCTAGTACTCATCCTACTACCGTCTCGTGCTTTGTTCTTGGCTTGATAGCATACTAACTCAGTTTGCATACAACGAATGCAACGTCTAGTTAAGTAAAATATATGGCATACATAATGCTACCAATCGTACTCGCATATTCTAGTTCAATGATCGCTTGACCAAAGTTCACATTAACTTTCACACATAAGTCAAAATGAGTGTTAAATTACTGAATATTCAAATGTTGAAGATATGTAAGAACTTTCTCTATATAATGATATTGTCACATAGAAATCTGATTACATGTCCTTTTCACCTTGATATCAAGAATATTATTTACTTCTCCTAGATCATTCATTTTAAAGTTCAAGGATGTGTATTTTATTCATCTCAATAATATCATGCAAGAGTACCAATGATCAACATATCATCAAGATAAATATATATAATGATTGGTTCTTCGCATGTGTACTTGGAATAAATGCACGTGTCATCACCTTATATCATTCAAATATCCAAAATAATCTCATTTGTTAGATAGAAAACGAATTTTTTGATATCTTAAAGGAACACTAATATCAGGCCTTTTGAGTCATGCTTACAATTAATTTTAGTTGAAACCATATACATATGTTGATTATGTGGGTTGTAAGCTTAACAAAGAAATAGAACTATATTTGAATTTTCATACCTAAAATAGAATATGTTGCAACGAGTTGTTGTCGATAAGTGTTAGGGTTGAAGTTACAACTTCAAGATAATGGAATTGAATTTGGAAAATTTCATATGTTTTGTAATTCACAAATGCAATAGTCATTTCTCATTATCCAATTCAACACTCAAGAACAAAGCATGTTGATTTAAGATATCATTTTTATCAAAAAACCATGTTCTCAAAAGTGACAATGAACTTTTCATTATACCAACCGTTGAAGAGATTTTCGATATCTTCACTAAAGCATTTGATGATACCAATTTTAATTTTTCTTAATGTTGTTAGGAATGATCGATGGAAATACTTTTCTTGGTTTTTTAAGATTATTATGTTAATAGTTTTAGTTAGTACTAAAATTTTTTTTTTTTTTTTTTTAGTTTTACTTATTGCCGTTTCACTAAGTCTAATATTGAGATAACTCAACAATCACCCAATTGCTCAAATATTAATCTTTAATGATAACCAGTCACTCTTTAACAATTAATGATCAGTCGTTCATGACATTAGGGAAGTATTTGAAACTTATTCAACGAATGTTCTATGAGAATAAAATTTAAACTGTGTCCCAAATGAAATTAATGATTGGTTACTTAATAACCATAATTGATTTTTTTCACAATATTTAAAAAAAAATCTATTTGTAGTGAATAATTTGTTAAAAAAACAAATTAAATTTGGGTGAACGATGGTGGATTTACAATCCAATGCCTTGATCTACTTATTATCTAGTATTACTTAGTATTATCTAATATTTTTATATTTTCCATTAAAATAAAAAAAGAGCATATTTTTTTTTTTATTTTCTTTCTTATTTCTGAAAACAAAGTAATAAAAAAAAAATTATGAGCATATTATTAATCTTATTTTCTTTCTTATCCGTTTGTAGATTGAGCTTCGATAACATCTAAGTATAGAGGGAAATTATGAGCATTACGTTCATGCATAACCTCAATACCAAGGTTAGCATGCTTAATGATCTCAAACCAAGTATTAATTACATGGCCTTGACTATCAGAAAAGCTTCTTTGACCTATTGAGTAGATCAAGAAAACAACAATCGTAGCTACAATAAGACCTGAATATGCAACAACAATCCAAGTTTGCATGCCCCGACGGATACTAAGCTCCCATTGACCCATGTAGCAAGCTACACCAAGTACGAAGTGTAGAAAAATTAGTTCATAAGGACCACCACAATACAACCATTCATCAACGAATGTTGCTTCCCATATTGGGTAAAAATGCAAACCTATAGCTGTAGAAGTAGGAATAATGACACCTGAAATAATATCGTTTCCATAAAGTAGATATCGAGAAACAGGTTCACCAATGTCATCAATGTTGTAAAACTTGCCGAGTTGGCCGATTACTCCTCCGAGTACTCGCTACTCGGCCCCTTGCCGAGGCGAGTTACAGAATCCCGAGTACTCCCCGATCGACCCCTAACTGAACTGAGCAGTGTTGTAAAACTCGGTCAACTAGGTGATTAATATGTATAATATACTTAATGATTTATTATTTAACATACAAACATGTGATTATTACTACATATATATCTTAAATTTTCAGTAATTATTCACAAAGTGAGACCATTATGTGTTTTTTTAGTTTTTATGTATTCACATGTATCTTATTTTGTTATATATTTCAATCAACTTATGATTTTAACTTATGATTTTGACATATATAATTTCTCTAAAAATATTTCTACATGAATTACCAAATCCGAGTACTCCCCGAGTACTACTGAGTACTCCCGAGTACTCGCTACTCGGTAGTCGGTCGAGCAGGTATCGAGTAACGAGTTCTACAACCTTGAATATCATAAATATCCACTGGAGGAGCAGCAATGAAGGCAATAATAAATATTGAAGTTGTGTTCAATAAGGTTGGGATCATCAAAACACCAAACTATCCAATGTAAAGACTATGAAAATGGGTTGCCCGGGATTCAAACCCGAAACTAGTCGGATGGAGTAGATAATTTCCTTGTTAAAGGGATAAATGCCATTTTCAGAATCTTTTAGGGTAGTTTTAATTATCATTTAGCATCATATTTTGTACATTTGCATGTCATTTGTTAAATAATGACCAACTCATATATTTTGTCAGAATTCCCTTACTGCTAGCAGTTTTGTGTCATTTTCAGATAGTGCGAATGGAGCAGTACTTTGCGAACAGCTGAATGACTATTTGGAGCCTAAATGAAGCTAGAATTGAAGAAGGATGCTAATGAATAACAAGAAGTGATTAAACTGAAGACTCGCGTCCAAAAAGAGCCGGATACTCAGATCTGCGATTGCATTTTCAGGTTCTACGATCGTATAAATACAACGAAGTTTGGTAGGGTTGAAATAAGTCATCTGGAAGCCATATGAAGAAAAAAAGTGATTTATGTGATCACAATTTTCCCTTCTGCGATCGCATTTTTATCTCGCAACCCCATAAACTTCAGAAATAGCTTCGTACTTCATTCAAACGTAATCCTGGAAGAAATTCAAAAAACTGCGATCGCATATTGTCTTTATGCGATCGTATTTTTGTCCCGAAGTTTTAAAAACATTGAAAATAGCATCGTACTTCATTTAAGGACATTTCTGGAATTTATCCCGATTTCTGTGATCGCAATTCCCTTTTCTGCGATCACATTTTCCGATTTCTTTCTCCGGAAGCTTCTGTCTCGCATATAAATAAGACCCTCATTATCAGATTCAAATGTGAGATGGTTCCAAACGACAAAAGACACTTCTGAAGGTAATTTTTGATACCTTTCAGTGATTTCTAAAGATCTGAAGGATGTGAATCATCACATTCACATAGTTTAGAAGATTATTCAGTTAATGTTTCTTTTTACTAGTTTAGATTCGTTTTTAGTCATGTTTGACTAAAACCCCAGTTTTCAGTTCTGCGTAGACTAGTACTTTTCAAGGGATTAGTTTTTAGATATGATTTTTGATTTGTGTTTCTATATAGATTTTTCAGTTTTGAGCTTAATGAATGTTTGATTTTGATGTTAGTCTGGCCACCTAGCTAGGGTTTTGTCATTCTAGTTAATCAGTTAATAGAATGTAATGCCCGGATCTTGACGTATATCGTTCATAATCAAATTGTCATTTTGGGGATTACCACGTCGTGGTGGAGGCACCACCACAACGTGGCGAGGTGAAAATGGGTCGTGTCTTCATTCAAGTCACCACAACGTGGTAGTATTGGCCACGGTGTGGTGGCGGATGGCATGCAAACCCTATTTTCCAGGTTTGGTCCCTATTTAAAGGATTGATGAGGCTAGGGTTTGCTCATCCTCAGCCTCCAACAGCCCTTCAAACCCTATAGAAACCCTAATCACTTTTCCTCCATTATTGAGCTAGTTTTGTTGTTCCTTGAAGCTAAAGAAGGAAGAAGGAAGCAAAGATCAAGCAAGCAATTCTTTATTCTTCACCCTAGCACTCTTCTGGACCTTTGTAAGTTTCCAAGACTCGATTTTTATCATGCTAGGTTGCTAGATCTTGCGTTTGGTCACATTAACTTCTTGTTCTTGTTTGTTGAGATGATGAGATCTCATAAAGTTTGCAACTTTATGAATCCCTGGGACATTTGCTGTATTTTTTGCCATGGATCTGGAGTTTGGTTGGGTTTTTTATCCATGCATGAGATTAGGTCATAAAACCCTCATTTTGACCTAATATGGGTTAAGGATGTAACAACCCAAAAACCAGGATAAAAATTTTCATTTTAAAAACAAGAGTTACAACCATCACATTGTTCCAAAAACCATCGCGTAACAAATATGTCAAGTCATCAGAGTACAATATCAAAAAAGCGGAAAGCAGTGAGGAGTGAATGCTACGTCATCAAGCCGAGCCCTTTCCCTTAGTACCGAAAGTACCTAAAATCACAAATACAAGCTGTAAGCAAAATCTTAGTGAGTTTCCCCAAAGTACAACATAACAAACATAAATAAGATAGTGCAATGGGCCAAACCATAGTCTTATAAGCAATTTCCTATCGTGGGCCAAATGCCGGTCTTAGAGACAGTTCCCAGAGCTAGATCTTTGTCTTTCATACAATTGCAGGGGCCATATCCTGTTCTTTCATGCGTTTTTAAACTGTGTCCCAAATGAAATTAATGATTGGTTACTTAATAACCATAATTGATTTTTTTCACAATATTTCTTAAAAAAAATCTGTTTGTAGTGAATAATTTGTTAAAGAAAAAGAAATTAAATTTGAGTGAACAGTGGAAGGTGAACCCTCGCATGGTGGATTTACAATCCAATGCCTTGATCCACTTGGCTACATCTGTCAATCTACTATTATCTAGTATTACCTAGTATTATCTAGTATTTCTATATTTTTCCATTAAAATAAAAAAGAGCATATTAATTTTCTTATTTTCTTTCTTATTTCTGAAATCAAAGTAATAAATAATTAAAAAATTGTGTTTATCTATTTTAGATTGAAATTAAATTGGAAATCAAACTTCATAAAACATTGGGAAGAAGATATATAAACCTCTTAATTAATACAAAGAGAAAACGTGCTAATTGAGCCAAACAAAAGACCTTGTTATTTTTAAAGAAACTATGTAAGGCAAATACTATTAAATAAAAAAAGAGCAATAACTTCCCTATTATTTTATCAAGAGGGCGTTATTGATCGTTTTTTAGTTCAAAAAGTCCTATACAATTACAATAAGACCAAAGTCTTATCTATTTGTATATTGAGCTTCGATAGCATCTAAGTATAGAGGGAAATTTTGAGCATTACGTTCATGCATAACCTCCATACCAAGGTTAGCATGCTTAATGATCTCAACCCAAGTATTAATTACATGGCCTTGACTATTAACTACCGATTGGTTGAACTCGAAACCAATTAGGTTGAAAGCCATAGTGCTGATACCAAAAGTAGTGAACTCGATACCTACTATAGGCCAAACAGCTAGGAAGAAATGTATAGAACAAGAGTTGTTGAAACCAACATATTAGAAGATCAATCGGCTAAAATAACCATGTGCGGCTACGATATTATAAGTTTCTTCTTCTTAACTGAATTTGTAACCTTCATTAGCATATTCATTTTCTATAATTTCCCTAATCAAACTAGAGGTTACCAAAGAACCATGCATAACACTAAATAGGGAGCCGTCAAATACACCAGCTACGCCTAGAAAGTGAAATGGGTGCATAAGGATGGTGTGCTCAACTTGAAATACAATCATGAAGTTTAAAGTACCAGAAATTTCTAGAGATGTACTATCAGAAAAGCTTCCTTGATCTATTGAGCAGATCAAGAAAACAACAATCGTAGCTGCAATAAGACCTGAATATGCAACAACAATCCAAGTTTGCATGCCTCGACGGAAACTAAGCTCCCACTGACCCATGTAGCAAGCTACACCAAGTAAGAAGTGTAGAAAAATTAGGTCATAAGGACCACCACTATATAACCATTCATCAACGAATGTTGCCTCCCATATTGGGTAAAAATGCATTTTATCAGAATTAGGAATAATGGCACCTGAAATAATATCGTTTCCATAAAGTAGATATCGAGAAACAGGTTCACCAATATCATTAATATCCACTGGAGTAGCAGCAATGAAGGCAATAATAAATATAGAAGTTGTGGTCAATATGGTAGGGATCATCAAAACACCAAACTATCCAATGTAAAGACCGTTTTTGGTGTTGTTTAACTAGTTACAGAAGCGACCCATAGGCTATCGCTTTCACATCTCTCTAAAATTGCAGTCATGGTAAATTTTTGCTGTATAAGGGAATATGAAATGCACGAATTTTCAACTTGAAAGTTAAAGGCTTGTTATTGAAAAGTATAACATGACTTATATGCCCGTGTCAACTAATATCTATCTTGATCGTGTTCAATTTTTATGTAAATCAAAAGTGGTTTGCAAAAATCAAAAAAGGATTTCTACACACTATACATATAATAGATTTTCATTGTGAAAATGGGTTGCCCGTGATTTAAACCCGAAACTAGTCGGATGGAGTAGATAATTTCCTTGTTAAAGAGATAAGTGCCATTTTATGCATCTTTTAGGTAGTTTTTATTATAATTTAGTATCATATGTTGTACATTTGCATTTCATTTGTTTAAATAATGATCAGCTCATGTATTTTATCAGAATTCTCGTACTGCTAGCATTTTTATATCTTTTTCAGATAGTTCGAGTGGAGCAGTACTTTGCGAACAGCTGAATGCCCATTTGCAGCCGAAATGAAGCTAGAAATGAAGAAGGATGCTAAGGAATAACAAGAAGTGATTAAACTGAAGACTCGCGTCCAAAACAAGCCGAAAACTCAGATCTGCGATTGCATTTTCAGTTTCTACGATCGTATAAATCCAACGAAGTTTGGTAGGGTTGAGATAAGTCATCTGGAAGCCATATGAAGAAAAAAAGTGATTTATGTGATCACAATTCCCCCTTCTGCGATCGCATTGTTATCCCGCAACTCCAGAAACTTCAGAAATAGCTTCGTACTTCATTCAAACGTAATCCTGGAAGAAATTCAAAAAACTACGATCCCATATTGTCTTTTGTCACACCCCAAAACCGGAATGGCGGAAACGTTCTGGGGTGGAGGACGTCATGTGTAGCATCACAACCAATGAATAATAGCAATCATAGCAACTCAACCATTACAGTGAATAAAAATGTTTACATCAGTTTGAAACTTTGTCTGAAACTTTGTTTGAATTACATCCAATAGCTATGTATAGTAAAAACATAAAACTCTTATTGCTCCAGTTCCTCAAAAATCTAGCAAGTACCTGTCTACGGATTTCCTGAGAATACAAGCAGTTTGAAAGAGTATCTGCATAAAGCTGGTGAGTTCATAAGCGGTGGTTTGTAGTGAAAATCGTTGATGAGTTCGGAAAATATTTGTATAGTTCCAAGAAAATCTGATATTTTCTTTAGTGAGAAAGTAGTGTTTTCAATTCTGTATAAAACCATGAATGTTTGTCACTGAAAACTATAGTGATATGCGAAATTATTACTTCATGTGACTAGCTAATGCTAATCATGATGTAATATTATTTCGTGCGTGAAACCAATGTACGCTCGTTTCTGTTTGAAAACCCTGAAAGTTCTCCAGTTGTAGTGTGTATTAGTTCTATTTAATGTAAATAAAACTGTTGAATAGTGTCAAGTTGTAAACTAAAGGTGATTTATACATAATTTGAGTCGTATAACCATGCTTGATATGACTAGAGACCTTTCCAACGTTCTTCAGGCGTTGAGTTAAATGACATTTGTCACCCTAGGCATGCCTGCCCAACTGTAGCTAGCAGTTCGGGTGTGGGATTGTCAGTCCCGAATAGATCTATTCACAAATCTCACGTTCTCCCTCCAGGAGACTCTGGTTATACTATGATAGGATTTATCCATGTACACCTAAGGGTACAGTAGTGAAGTAGCGCCTCACAGTATCGTACAATCTAGTTTACATGTAGTGTCATAGCGTTTTATCGTAGTGAAAATCCGTATGTATACCGTATGTAGTGAATGTTACAGTTATGAATACCATGATAATGCAGTGATGTAAACTGTAAACCATTTCTGTATTAGTGCATACGTTAGTAGTGAAAGTTTCCGTACTTGATATGTTTTTAGAAAATCCCAAACTATACCGATTATAGTTTGCATGTATAGTGTAGTGAATATATTGTTATGGAAAACTATGCAATTTTAGTGAAAACGTCCCTTATGCTTAGCACAGTACAAAAGGGTTAATGTATGAGAATTGGATGAGTTTTATACTTGTTAAAAGCTCTTTGTATTAACAAAAGCATTTATGGTGTAGGTTGTATTCCCCCCTGAAAACGTTTGAAAACCAGAAAATGTAGGGGTATGAACTCACTGTTTGACGTAGGACCCGAGTGTGAGGTCGGTGTGGATGCTGAGTGTCAACTGATGTTTCGTATGCAAGTGGATCCTATTATCATATGGCAACACATATATGTATTAGATGAGGGCATAACATCATCTGTTATGGGAGGAAACCACTTAGGGATTAGGAATCACGTGAAACTAAGTGTTAGGATCACACGTGATTGAAGATAGGGAGTTTGCGACCGTAATCGAGAGTGTACGGTCAGGGGTTTGCGGTCCAATGGGGTTTACGGCCCATGGCTTACGGTCCAAGTTTGCGGCCCAATTGTTTACGGTCCATGGGTTTACGGCCGTAAACACTTGGTGAAAGGTAGGATTTCTGGTGCTTCAAAGTCCTTTCTAGCCTCTTGGGAGTGTTCCGAGTCTTTTGTATGGCAAAAGGGGTGTTAAAGATCGATCCTTGATCCTTTACTAGAGTTTATGAACAAGGCGGGATGTACGGCTGTAAACTCTTCATGTTCATGTCTTTTGGGTCGATTTTTAGGTGGAAATCCAAAGTTTCAAGCAGACATCAAGCATAGATAGTAGTTACTTACTATAAGAGGGCTTGAAATGCGATTTTTAGCCACCAAGAACTAGTGTGTGTTCTTGGTGTTCTTGGTGTGAGAGAAAATCTAGAAAAAGATGAACTTTATGAGATGAAACATGGATTCATCACCAGAAAAGGGATTTAAACACCATAGAAATGAAGAATCACTTACATTCTTGGGGATTCTTGAGCTAAAATCGATGGTTGAAGAGAGAGAGTAGAGAGAGAAAGTCCTTTGAGTGCTTAGAGTTCGAATTGAAGGCCACTCATCCCTTATATAGGGGGGTGAGTTTGTGGCCAAGAGTGAGCTGGCACCGACCGTAAACGAGTTTACGGTCTCGAGTTTACGATCACGAGTTTACGGCAGTAAACTCCCAGCCGTGAACTCGTTCTGGCCGTGAACTTGAGGCTGACGAGTGAAGTTTCGAGTTTTCGCATGATTTCCGGTTAATTCCCCTTTGTATAAAAATACACATTATTGATTTAAAAGAGTAAGGTCTTTCCCAAACCAAGAATGTTGACATAATTTAATAAAACCCCAAATTTTATTAACGGAAATCGGGTATAGATAACAGAAAAAGTTTCGGATTGTCACATCATCCCCCCGTTAGAGGGAATTTCGTCCCGAAATTCGAACATAGAGTACAAATCATGAATTTGGAAAGAGGTGAGGGTACTTCTGTTTCATCTGATCTTCGCGCTCCCAAGTGAATTCAGGACCTCGCTTGGCATTCCAGCGAACCTTCACTATCGGGATGCGACTTTGTTTCGTACGCTTGACTTCCCGGTCCATTATTTCAACATGTTCTTCCACAAAGTGAAGACTCTCGTCTAATTCGATCTCGTCGAGAGGGATCACAAGTGTCTCGTCGGATAGACACTTCTTTAGGTTCGACACGTGGAAGACAGAATGAACGTTGCTGAGTTCTCGCGGTAACTGGAGTTTGTAAGCTACAGGACCGATCCTAGCAAGGATCTCGAATGGTCCAACGTACCTTGGGTTTAGCTTTCCACGTTTTTCGAAACGTATCATGCCTTTCCAGGGTGAGACCTTCAGGAGGACGCGGTCACCAACCTGGAATTCCAAGGGTTTTCGTCTCTTATCGGCGTAGCTCTTTTGTCTATCCCGAGAGGCTTTCAGCCGCTCTCGGATTTGAACAATCTTCTCTGTTGTCTCTCGGATGATTTCAGGTCCAGTGAGAGTACTATCGGGGACTTGACCCCTGGCTAGCTGCGTGTCACCCACCTCAGCCCAGCACAAAGGGGATCTGCACTTACGGCCATAGAGGGCTTCAAACGGCGCAACCTTGATGATGGTATGGTAGCTGTTGTTGTAGGAAAATTCAACCAAAGGAGGATGAGTGTCCCATGATGCGCCAAAGTCGATGACGCAGGCTCTCAACATGTCTTCCAATGTCTGAATTGTTCTCTCACTCTGTCCATCAGTCTGCGGATGATAAGCCGTGCTCATATCCAACTTAGTTCCAAGAGCCTTCTGTAGTGACTGCCAGAACCTCGATGTAAACCTGCTTTCTCGATCGGAGATAATGGATGCAGGTACACCATGAAGGCGAACTATCTCTCGAATGTAGATCTGCGTGAGTCTCTCCATTTTGAAGCTTTCTTTGATTGGCAGGAAGTGAGCGGATTTTGTCAACCGACCGACAATTACCCAGATGACATCGTGCCCACTCGCAGATCTAGGTAACTTAGTGATAAAATCCATGGTTATCATTTCCCACTTCCACTTAGGTATTTCTGGCTATTGTAGTAAACCTGAGGGTTTCTGATACTCCACCTTCACCTTGGCGCAAGTCAAACACTTGCTCACGAAGGTTGCAATTTCTGCCTTCATGTTTGGCCACCAGTAGAGCTGTTTGAGATCCAGGTACATCTTATCCGAACCTGGATGAACAGAGTATTTCGTATTGTGAGCTTCATGCATGACAACCTCTCTGTACCCGCCGTACTTTGGGGTCCAGATCCGGTTCATGAAATAGTACAGTCTGTCTCCCTTGACCTCTAAGTTCTTGTCCATTCCCTGCAATGCTTCGTCCGCCACCTTTTCTGGTTTCAAAGCTTCCAGCTGAGCCTCTCTGATTTGCGCGGATAGATGGGAATGAACGGTCATTGACAACGCCTTCACCTTTCACCCTGAATACTCCTTTCGGCTGAGGGCATCTGCTACCACGTTGGCCTTGCC